AAAATTAGAAAATTTCTTTTAAATTTCTTCATTACTAGTACAGAGGAATAACAAAAAATTTAAAAGAAATTTTCTAATTTTGTTTTGAAATTATGTTTTAGATTATTATCTCTATTTATTTTAAGATTTCACAAATGAAGAAATGTTAACAATAATTTCTAGTTTTTGTATAAAGAAAGTTTTAAATTTTGTTTATAATTTTTGCTGGTCAAAAATGGGAAAATAAATTTCAAATAATGTTTATCATTATGTAAGTTATTTCTTAAGGCAAGAAATTGTGAAATGCCCCATGTGTCAATTGTCTCAGCATATTGGTCATGTGCACTTTTTATTGGCCAGTTCGATTGGCAATTTGCATTTGATCATCGAGTTTTCATCGTCTCGTCGTCTTGTTATGCATCTCCGCAACACCTTCTGAAAATAGTGAAAAGTACCATGGATTAATTCCTTTTGGAGGACATGATATCTATCTTTCAAGGGGCGGGCGTAGTGCCAGTTCTTCGGTCCACACGTTGACGCTTTCTCGAAACGACATGCACATCCATGGCGTAAACTAAGAGGACCATAAACGATATTTGTATATTCGTAATGGAGATGATTTATGCCTAGACGCGTACAATAGACCCCGACAGCGTCAACGGTCAAGACGATGCGAGCTTGAAATACGGAAAATTGGTTTAGGCAAGGAACTCTCACTGATTCAGTAACGCACTTTATGTTGGTATAATTCTTATTTGGTGCCCGCTGATGTCATTCGTGCTTTAAGCTCTAGTCAGGAATAAATGCACGCAAACCAGGCTTCATCTCACGGCATGCTGCTTAGTTCTAGCTCTCATCTATCTGCAACATCCAAAATCCGCTGAGAATCTACATCTGGTATGTCTGCTAAAGGTGTGGCTATCGTCACTGGTGCTGCTCAGGGTATCGGCCGTGGAATAACGTTGCGACTAGCGGCTGACGGATATGATATTGGTATCAACGATATCCCAGCAAAGAAAGCAGATCTAGAGGGGGTCGCAGAGCAAATCAGACAGCAAGGCCGAAAGTCTATTACAATATTTGGAGACGTCAGTAAAGAGGAAGACGTACAGAAACTTGTACGGCAAACTGTCGACGATCTCGGTGGACTCGACGTGGTGGGTAACCCACGCAGCTACTAACTCCTGACCATGTATAGTTCTTTTTTTAAATAACATTTTGAAGATGATTGCAAATGCCGGAACTGCTCATCACGGTCCGATCACGGAGAGTATGTACCTGTGTCAATGAACTCAAGTGCTGGAGGCTTGACGTGTTCATTTTCTGGATAGTGGATGTCGGCAAATGGGACGAAGTTTTCGATGTGAACGTAAAGGGAACGATGCTCTGTTACAAGTATGCCGCGATTCAGATGATCAAACAAGGTAGAGGCGGAAGGATAATCGGTGAGAACGGGTTGACGCCACGAGTATTATGGAATAGTTGACGAGTATATCTAGGTGCCGCTTCGACGGCGAGTAAACAAGGTGAGCTGTACCGTGACTATGTAGAATTGTTATTTAGCGTGATGTTTCTAGGCAAAGCGAACGTGTCTGTGTACGCTGCGTCAAAGTTTGCCGTGAGAGGCCTAACGCAATCAGCTGGTCTGTATTTAAGACAACAACTCCGTGGTCGCGTCCTAATATTCTACAGCCATGGAACTCGGCAAGTTCGGCATCACTGTGAATGCTTATGCTCCCGGTCCGATAGACACTTCCTTCCGTAAGTACTTCATGACATGCATTCTAATGAACAAACCAAAACTACTTTACACAGTTGGTAAATTCGATGAATACTATTCCGCACTAGCTGGGCAGCAGCGGGGTTTTTACACCGAAGAAGTACGTATTTTTCTCCACATGTTTGCAAGGTTCTCTAGCTTAGCATAATATTATTGTGGATCGTTCAACGTGCGGCAGTGGAAGAGCAAGACAGTCGTTGGTAGAATTGGAATCCCAGAAGATGTCGCAGCCTTGGTTTCCTTCCTGGTGTCAAAGGAAGCATCTTTCATAACTGGTATGTTGCACTACGAGTTTCACAACTAGTATGTCGTGTGCAGCCGGGCTAATAACAATCTAAACTTTAGGTCAAAGCGTAAGCTGTTGACTCATCATATTTTTTGGCGGGCTAATCTGGCCATTAATAGGTATCGACGAATGGTGGTGCGTACTTTGACTGAGACATGATAATATTACCGAAGATAAGGCGGGTCAATACTTGATTAGTATTGCATGTTTTGTCAAAGATATCCGATATGATTGCTAACGAATGAAATATCAGTTTGTTTTCTTCTAACTCTCTCTCTGACCAGACAGATTTCGCTCTTGTGCAAGACAGTAAATAGGGAGCAAGCCAACTGCAGAAACAAAGTCAAGAGGTATCGTTATCATTTGCGTCGTCTATTGAAAATCAGTAATGCTATGCACGATATCCAAGCAACAGGAGAAAGATAGAGAAGATAGGGTGAATAAATAAAACAACTATGGCAAGAGGATGCGCAGTGGAATATGCGACAGCAAGAGCATACATGGCATGAACAAGTGTGTTTGGAGAGCGCTGCAATGCAATGAGGTGGCAGTAACGAGAAAGACAGTAAACATTGGCAATTTTAGAAACGGAACGTTGTACGGCCCGGACCACCCGTTCGGTAATGGAAGCCACTACCACCACCGCCAAAGCCAGATCCGCCGCCAAAGCCAGAACCTCCACTAAATCCGCCTCCACCACCGAACTGCATGAAAATGTTAGCAAAGTCGTCTGGGTCCATCCCGCCGAACCCGCCGCCCATACCGGACGAGTTCATGGATCCGTCGACGTCTTCGCCCAAGTCGTACCTTCAGAGAGCAGTCAGACATGTTGATGTGTAACAGATACGTTATAAGAAGCAAAGCGTACCGTTGCCTCTTCGTCGGGTCCGAGAGGACTGAATGTGCTTCGACGACGAGCTTAAACTTTTCTTCATCACCACCTTTATCGGGATGATGTTTTAAGCTCTCCCGGCGGTATGCTTTCTTGAGTTCCCCATCTGAACAGTCGCGCTGCACACCTGGGGTTTTTATCAGACCTGTTCGTGGACGACTAAAATGAATGATCATACCGAGGATCTTGTAATAGTCTTTCGTTTTACTTCGCTTGAGGTCAGCTTCAGCTTTACGAAGTTCGGTCTGTAATGCTCGTTCGTCTGCTGTGGCCCCTTCAGAAGCGGCATGTTCAAGAGCAGACTTGAAATCTTGAACTGCTGCTTCGTATTTCTCTAAATGTAGTTGTATGCGGGCTCGGGTTCGAAGAGCTTTAAAGGAAGTCGGGTTGAGTTCTAAGGATGTCGTGATATCAGATAAGGCGTCGTCATGCCTGTCCACCTGTCGATGCCATGAGTCAGAAAGACGAACAAAATGTGGAAATATATACCTTCAGTAATGACGTCGCTCGGTTCGAGAGAAGGGTTGCTCGCATCTGGCCACCCCTTCCTTCTTCCTCTGAATCACCGACAATATCTAACGCTTCGGTATATTTGTCAATCGCAGTTTGCCATTGATTTGATTTGAAACTCGTGTTGCCCTCGTCTTTTAGTCTTTCCACAGCTTTTATTCGTTGCCTGAGCTTTTTTGCGCGGAGGTTATCCGGATCTAATTTTAAAGCGGACATGGCATGTTGATATGCACCAGGCAATTTTGCGGTAAGGAATAAGACAAGCCCTCGGAGGGCTAATACATCCGCTGAATTCGAGTCTCGTCGGAGGGCATCGTTTGCAGCGATGTTTGCTGCGTCCCAGTTCGCTCGTGCGAGTTCAAGCTCTATTCGCCAACACCGCCATTCTGAAGGAGCATCGCCCGCTTCACCATCAAGCGATTGTAAGCATTTATCAAGAGCCAGTCGTGCCATTGCCCAGTCTTTCCTAGATCGTGCACCCTCGAAGTTGCGAAGGTGGGCCTCGAGCTCAAGCACTTTTGTCTGTAATTGTTTTGCCGCAGCGTTGTTAGGTTCCAAGGTGAGGACTTCTCGCAGGGCGGAAAGTGCAGGTCCTGGTGCACCAGTGGCGAGTTGACAGCGCGCGAGGCGTATTAAGGTCTTTGGCGAAGGATCTGAAGATTGTAGGGAAGCAGCTTGTTGACAATCTGTAAGAGCAGGCTTGAATCGCTTCATAGCCATGTACGCGGCCGCTCGGTTTGTCAAGTACGTTGGTTCGGAAGGTCGTAGTTCTGTTAGAAAGTCCAATTAGCCTTGCACTACAATTAATTCACAGAGGAACACACCGATTGCCTGGGAATAGAGACCAATGGCCTTGTCGTAATTCTTCTCCCGAAACACGGCATTCCCTTCTTCCTTCAGTTGTTCTGCTCGTACGACAGGGTCGATAGGTGGCGGGTCGGGCTCTACGGGACTCGAACTCGAAGGCTGCTGCGACTCAGGCACCTCTGCATCGGGCGTTGAGAGTGGCTTAGTGCTCTCTGGAGACGTTCTACGCAAAAGAGCGAGATACTGTCAATAAAATTGTCGTGCCTTTCAATAGCGTTGGGGTTACCTACTTGTCTATTCCATTAATACCAGTAGTCTCTGTACTTTTCTCGGAGCTTTTCTTGCTCTCGGTGCTCTTGCTCTTTCTGAAAGCCATGTCCCTGGTCCACTGTGTGGTAAACAGGTATACTGAGGAGGGAGAAGGGAGGGGTAAGCTAAGGCACAGTGACTTAAGGCAGGCCGTGAAGCAGTGCAGCGTCAATCACTTATTTCCCACGATTAACTGTTTTGTGTATTCTGCTGCATTCTTTCTCTTTCTCTTTTAGTCTCCGCTACCCTTTTCTGTATGTTACGTCCATCATCATCATCATCATATCGCCTGTCCTGTGCTGGACTTCTTGTGTGTACTCGGAAGCAGTTATCCGAGTACGGTACTTGTCTTCTTGCTGGTCGCGATGTCGCCTCACCGCTTTCCGTTCCGCGTGTTCGATAGGCGACTCTGGTGCTGCCGGACTTCTCCCTATCAGTGTTTCTGAATACTCTGAAAGCATATAAAGAGACCATATGTTGCATCACAAGAGACTTCTGCAAGGCCAGCGATATGAGGCTACTCTGCTTTCTTCTGTTTGCAAGTTGGGTGGGTGCAAGCCGGGCCGCCGAGTCAAAATTCCACGTCCCGCGGCTTCGTGTTCAAGAACGTCTCTCTCCAGTTTCCAGAGACGTAACAGAACCGAATAATGCGCTTTTTATCGATGTTGGTGCTTTTGCCAAATATTTACCTCAAACCTCTAATGGTCAACTAGATGCTTCTCGACCACTTCGGCAACTCCACTGAAACGTTCAAGAACCGTTACTGGATCAATGGCACGTACTATGAACCTGGAGGACCCGTTTTCAGTTAGTAGCAAAAGTTTTGACCAGTGCTGTACTGTATTGAATCATTCTCCAGTATTTGATTCTGGTGAACAGAATGCAGAGCCACTCTTGCCTTATTACCTACAAGTACGTTCAAGGAATATCTTCTAGACAGGCGGCAATCAACATGTGCACTAGGAATACCACGGTTTATCTGCTACGATGCGCTTAGCTAAGAGATACAGAGGACTTGCTATTCTTTGGGAGCATCGTTTTTACGGAGCATCGCTCCCATTTCCTGTCAACGCAAGTTTATTTTATGCTGCTCGAAGGCAACATCAAAAGTAACTCTAAACCAGGAAAATACTACATTTGACCAATGGAAGTATTTAACAACGGATCAAGCTCTAGAAGATGTCGTGTTCTTCGCAAACTCTTTCCCCACCTCGTCTAACGATCCCGCAAGTCAACCGGCTATTCACCCGTCCATAACTCCTTGGATTTGGCTTGGTGGGTCCTATCCCGGAGTACGAGGTGCGCTCATGCGCGTCCGAAACCCCGAAGTTATTTTTGCATCTTGGGCATCCTCCGCTCCCGTCCACGCGCAAGTCGATATGGCCTCTTACTACAAAGCTGCCGAACGCTCACTCACTCGAAACTGCTCTGCTGACTGGGTAGCGGTCACGAAATGCGTCGATCAGGTTTTGAATGGGACGGATGAAACGAGGCGCGCGGATATGAAATTCGACCTTGAATTCGCACGTTTAAGTGGAAAAGGTGGCAACACGACTCTTGCAATGAACTTGACCCGAGAAGAAGCGGCGAAGATTAGTAACGTGGACGCAGCAAGTATTTTAATGGATCCCCTAAATTTCTACCAAGTTTGTAGTGTTACTTTGTTGGACCTGTAGCATTGAGCTCACGACTGTTTACAAGTATTACGGTTTCGCCGAGTCACTCTTACCATTTTGCAACCTACTGGAGACGCAGAACTTCACAGCCGATCCGCTTGAATCTGGTATTTCTAATGCACATGGCATCCAGGCTGCGTTTGACGCATTTCTGGCTGCTCTTGCTGAGCTCGATTACGATTCTATTCCCGGTGAACCAGATGATCCCGTTACAGATCGGTCATGGATGTGGCAATACTGCTCAGAATATGGTTCGTATGTTAGCGCAATGTATCGCTGCGCTGAACTATATTCATGATTGTCTGCCTGCCAGGATTTTACCAACGAGGAGACCCCAATAATCCTCTTTCTATTGAGACCTCATTTCTTTCTCTCGAGCTTTTCCAGGAGCAATGCAATTCCGCTTTTCCAGTTGGGCTGCCGACCTCCCCTGCAGTGGACCACATTAATAAGTACGGAAGCTGGGAGATGAGTCCTTCTAACGTGTTATTCACAAATGGAGAATGTATGGATGTCTCTTCCTGGAGAGCACGTGTCACTTTTAATTACTTCACTGATTAGTTGATCCGTGGCGTACGATGGGACTCGCGTCCATTGAGACAAATTCACCACACAGACAGCCAAATCTCACTGTCCCTGAGTATGTTATTTTTCTTGTTTGCTCCCTTCACCAGTTTTAGAGCGCATACGTTCATCACAGGTGCAATACATCACCGACATACCCCAGCTTTTTCGGGCTCACATATGCAGACATGGTCCACGTGTCCGATATGCGCGTCCTTTTGGTTCCAGATGCGAACCACACGGACTTCCGGACCGTCGGGTTTTACAGTCCCGTATCTCCCGAGCCGTTCTATGCTGGCGAAGGTCTCTTTCAGCTTGCCCTTGACGAATGGTTCCCATGCTTCCAATCACAAGTCAACAAGACGATGACTCAGTGATTGTGGCAAATAAAGCGGGCTCCTAAGACGGAACAGCATTTTTCGTATTCAAAACCGTTCTCGCTTAATGGGTGCTTGCAGAGGGCAATACTATGCAGACTTATGTTGTAGGCAACGATACGCTTACAATAGCCTTTATTGTCTTTACTTCGGATTAATTCTTTACCACATAGATTTGAGATGAAGACGAGCACATCCTTTTAAATGACCTTTGCAAGCATTTCAAAACACTACATTAAAGTCGGAAGGTAAATGCGTTCAAGCAACCTTTTGCACCTTTGTCATAAAACCCGCGTCTCTGTCCTTTAGTGTTCCTAAGATCCCGAGATACAGGAATCTATTGCCCATTCGTTGTGATCTATAGCAGTCATTGTCGAGCCTGTTAAGGCAGGATTGTTCCGGAAGTTCATCGACTCTACGGGAGCTTCATGAACACCATCGGTCATTCCACCGGCAGAGAAAACGCCTTCTTCAAGTGTACGCTGTTGGCTTATCAGAACAAGAACGATGGTCGGATATATTCCCTATAGAAGTGACATGGTGAAAGGCATGGGATGGTACTGTTGATACCGGCAAAATAATCCTTACAGCAATCTGAACATGAATACGCGTATATATATCACCCAGCGTCCCATGAGGAAGACGGATAACAGAAGCAATGATAGCCAGGATCTGTATCGACATTTGTTAGAACCATCAGCATGACCTGTCTTGAAAACGCTTCAGGTATCCGTAGTGCTCACCCCAGAAGAGCAGTATAGGAGCCCCGATTCGATAAGGATTATAAAGATGCGTTCGACTTTCGTCCGTCTGTTAAATCCCTGACCAAGGTCCTTACGGTATCTCCAGGCCTTGACGCAAACTATTGATGTTGCGGATAGGTTGGCAAGGAACGACAATGCTAGATTTACCACTTGTGTTACTTCGACAATGGCATCGAGGCGGGCACTTCTGTCGGATCCAAGTATAGTAGTTCCGATCCTGAGAGCGATAGTAAGCAGGATTGAGACTGAATGTTGATTAGATGACTCTGTTAGCTTCCTCATTCGATGAAACTATGAAACAATCTACGGACCTGAGGCGCAAATGAGAAATACGATTGACATAACAATAGTCTTCCTACCCGTGTCTCTGCATAATACCGCAGCTCTCCAGATAACAACCCCATCCGTGACAATATACTATTAATGCAAAGGTTACAAAAGACAGAATGTCAGGTAAAGGAGAACTGACGTTAAGAAGAACAATAGCACGGAACAGTGGTAGAGAAATCGCTGGGTCTTGGGGTCTTGGGGATAGCAGGCGGCTCTTAATCAGGGAGATGACGCTGGCAATTCCTCCTATCCAATATCCAGTGGTGGTGCAGAACATGAAAATCGTAGCACTAAACATGATTTTATTCGTTCGTGATTTTAGCCCTCTACGTCTGCAGAAGAATGACAAAATGAACGGCGACCTCAAGTGAGGATATGGGTATAACGTACAGAAGGATTTGCAAAGAGACTGGCATCATAATGCAAAATACACCTAAATGTTCAATTTTCTGCTTTGCAGTGCTCCGGGAGAGAACACATAAAATGTGAATGCATACCATAGAAGAAAGTCTGGCAAACGAGCTCAACAGTTCCGTACAATACGGCCAATCCTACATCGCGCTGTGACGCCATAATGACGGCTCGACCTGCACAAGCTTCTGACGATTTAAAGGATAAGTTTATGTGGGTTTGATACAAATAACACGAAGAACGAGCCTTAAGTCGAGAAACGTGTGTACATATATACCTCTGAGATGGGGCTTCTTGACAGTAGCGAGTGTAACCACGGGAAAAATCAAAATACTGGATTAGAACTTCAAGAGGCAAACAGCATCCCTTATGGAGGGATGTGAACTATTAAGGGATGTACATCATTTGATGAACAACGGGGTTTGTTGGGAATCAACTTCGGATGTCATCCAAAGAAAGAAGGGAGCATAGTGTTGTTGCAACCACAAGTTCATCCTGCATACATTTCTACATCGTTGCTTCCTTGCACACAGATTTAAAATAGTACAATGCACGAAGACCATATGAGGACAGTAGAGCAGATAATATCAGAATCAATATTTGCATTTAAGTGCAGATGAAAGGTGAATGCTACCTTGCACAAGTTGACAAGTCAGTCAAATGTGGCAAACTTGCAGCATTGAATGGATCTGTTGGCGTAGTACTCCTTGTACATATTGGGTGTTATATGCACAAAAATTACCCTCCACAGTGTTGCTCCAAAGCGAGAATGTAGATCATCAGTATGAACAATGTGTCCACGAACCAATTATGGACTCATCACTGTACCTTGATAGATGCTCCAAGGCATCCTGCAGACTTGACTGAAACCAACAGTTAACAGTTTCCCATATCAAAATAGCTCAATACCCATAGGAACCTGAAATACTCGGATGAATCCTGTAGCTTGATATCTGAGAAGCCTTGAACAAAGGAAGTAGAGGCATCTTAAAGCAGTACCTGAATTTTCCTGGAAAGGGGGATAGATGGTATAAGAGCAATGCCTGACATAAATAACGCACAATAATCGGTATCCACAAACTGTCCGACGTTTGATCCACTGATCCACTGTTACGCCAAAGCAGAAATCCTTGATGGTTTGGTCAGTACTAGTGATATTTGTTTCATTACAGAGCAAGTTCAGGCATCTAGCATCCTCTGCGACCCGTACGCTTGTTGCTCTCCACATGACCAACTTGAAGTTTCCAAGACGGAGAATAGCAGCATTGAACACGGATTAAATTTTAGGGGAATTTCGGCAAGAATGTCAGTCCTATTATACACTGAAACAATGCATATCAAGACAGAAGATTCATGTCGCAAAGTTAAACGGATTCCTGAGTCGTATCATGATCGTAACGCAAAAGGTCTTGAGTATACCCAATGGCTGCTGTTCTCACTTCCTGAGATCCCGAAATGCTCACAACGAATTAACTTAGATCCTACAAAACTGTTAGTACATCAAACCCAATCATGAGACACCATCGTACTTGATCCTCGATACGGTCCCCGCGCGCCGCCTCAGCGTCCTTTGTAACGGTTTATCCGTACATTTCGTGACAGCATCTGATACATTCGGTGATATGGTGACATGCACAGGCTCAAGATGAGAAGGCTGTGGATCCAGATTACCAACACTGTCAGAGACGGTGCTGGTCTCACTAGTAGTACGCCTCCCTAGAATATTTAGTCTTAACAATACTGCTCATGTTATTTTCACTCTACGTACCTATTGTTGAGCTTGTATTAGAGCTAATCGCGCTTCTTGAATCCTGAACCATCACACTGGTGTCATAGGGAGATAGGTAGAGCGATGCATCTTTAGCAGTGTCATTTTCACCATCGTATCTATCCCTGCAAGTTGTTGGGGTCTTGATAGATGGCGGCAATTTAAGACCTTCCTGCCACTTCTTTATTAGATCAGAAGGTTCCTTGACGTGTGAGGATCCGAGTTGAGCAGGTGGAGATAACGATGCAGAAGGAAGATGACTGGCAGGTTCTAAACTCAAAAATCATGCCAGACAATATCTATTAGGAATAAGACACACGTTTTCGTCCGTGGCGATGGCCGAGTCCGCCGTCGTAAGTCAAAACTGAACAACGATCAGCTAAGGATGCGAGGATGTGAATACACAGTGTTGAATTACTCTGGAGTGTCATTTTGGTTTCCAACAGTATCCAACGACCAAGTTCTCTCTCGAGTGCGAGTGGACGCCCGCCGCGTGCTCCGTTGTTCTGCTATATAATAAGAAAGACAGTCGTTTGAGCAAAAGAAATAAAAATCAAAGAAGGAAGTTTACCACCCGCGATTTCAGACTCCGCTTGAGTAGGATTTTCGGGCTCACGTGCACTTGCTTCATGATCCCCTCTAGTCTGTTGCTCTGTGCCAACTTGCGCGTTGCCCATTTTTTCATATGCTACAGTGCTATCGTCCTGGCCTAAAATTGACGGCTGCCTCTGGTCAAACACATTTGGGGTTTCGAATGTGCCAAACGTGTCGTCATGCCACTGTTTCCCGGGACATTATAAAGTTACTTTTTTACAGATACTGTCTGCATACCTCGGAATTATACCGCTCTTCGTCGGATCTGCGACACAGGAACTGCAAGTACGAGACAACATCTGCCATAGGCCTCCGCGAAGGTGGATGCCTAGACATCGTTGCATGCGCTTAATTGGCGAATAATATCTCTTCGAATTAAAGCACCCACCATCTCCATGAAACGACGCAAATCCCCCAAAGCTTTTGATAGTAGACCGGCCAACTGAAGAATGTACGAGGGCATTCCGGTGGTACACCTTGCAATATCGTGAACATAACCTGTACGTCGCGTTTTAGGTACGAATAAGGAACTTGTTCGGTAAGGAGTTCCTGGAAGAGGACGTTCAGTCAAGGGATATCGATCGCAAGGCATGTAGAATATCTTCACATAGACCGTCATTCCGAAAGCCCATATATCGGACTCCATCGTATGTTCTGCTTGAGGTCCGGAGCTAATGGCGAGCAATTCGGGGGCCATCCAGCGGACAGATCCTCTAATCCCAGTCTGCGTGCTGGTCTCGCCAAACGACTGAGATGCGGCGATCATTCTTGATATCCCAAAATCGCAGATGCGAGGCGCACCCGAGCGAGATACCAATACATTATCCTGTACATGATTACGATATCAGGGATTTCCTTCAGGTTTGGACTTATTACAGCTTACTGCTTTTACATCGGAATGAATGACACCTTCATTATGGAGATATTCGAGACCTTCTGCGATACCCAGAACCTAGTAATCCGCTCATTAACGATCGCCCACTCTTTCAATGTACGATTGATAAAATACAAACCATACGCAATAGATCTGCGTGTGGATGTGATTGCATGTATCGCGAGACTGTTCCATTTTCCATCCATTCTGCAACTAGTGAAGGGTAGTCACCCTCGATCACATAGCCGAGGAGAGGTAAGATGTTCCGATGGTAAAGTTTTGACCACACACGAATTTCCTTTGCCAGTTGCTATCATGATGCTCATGAGGATATCTTCGTAGTAACGGATAAACCCTTACTAGGATCTTATAGTGAACTCACCTTAGCAAAATCGCGATCACTCTGGATATGCACGCGCAGTCTCTTTATAGCGACTCTGTACATGCAGACACCTCTCGACATCCATCGACCCTGAAACACGTCACAGAAACCTCCATGAGCCTTGAGTACAGGGCCGTCATGTTGTATCTGGTCTGAAAGGTTCAAGTGCTGTAGGTTCGACAGCATGGAGTGGAGGACATCCCCGGAGCTGCGCTGAGACCGGATGCTGTCGACCATGTCGAAAGATCAAGGGGGAAGATTGCTAATCAACCTAAGCATAAGTAATAGGGGAACGAGCATAAGAATATGAGATTCCCTCCAAAGGCGTTGATTTAAATCATCTGGACCTATCTGCGTTGCCGTACAAGGACGCAGAGGCCCTGACCATCATGATTCTCCGATATACACGAGGGCCTTATTATGCCATACGGAAGTACTAGAAGCCATTTGGAAAGCCCATGAGGCAAAACCCGATTCTCATGCATTCAGTTGTAAGCAGAGAAACTGATAAAGCTGTGTTCGATAAGCGCCCGTCAGACAAGCCAGCTTTTAAGTACAACACGAAAGCAAGACACCAAAACTCTAGTACAGGTCGAAGTCCGAGTCCCTGGATGAAAGTTCAATCGAGTTCATGGATGAAATGGTGGAGAAAGCCAGGATAGAGGATTAACACCGATCGGGGATTCGGACCTTGGTCATGCAGACTACTACTAGTAGCAAGCGCTCACAGGCCCAGTCTTATCAAATTCAGATCGTTTATTCAGATCATCGTAGCTTAACTGGTAACGGCAATAAACTGCACTATACACATAGATCAATGAATGGAAGAAGCAAGCACTTACAACATCCACCAAAGTGTGTCATAATCAAGGATTCTCGTCAACTTTTGTCAACGCATAGCTAGCTTAATCCATACGCAAAGTCTGCCGCTTATACAGCCTGCCTCGGCCGCGATAAGTAATTTAATCATAGAAAAGCAGTCAAAAAGTCTTGTAAATTGTCTGAGAATGTGGCGTTAGTACTGTATACTTACTAAAAAAATTAAAAGTGGAGCAAGTAATAGCAAATGACACAGACTAGCAGTGGTCGTGGATATGCGCAATATGCTGAGATGCACATAAATGTAGATTGGCTCAAAGAAGTAATCTTGTTCCTTTGTAGGTTGTCAGCCGAAACCCAGAGTGTCGGTTATTAATATTGTTGACCTAATAACACTGGCATTAGTATTGTTGATAAACTACTCCATGTATAACTAGTTGGAAGGCTTGGAGCTCGGCGTTGTCAGCATCAATATTGGAGTCCACGATAAGAATTTCTGTAGGATTTAATAAGCATTGTAGGATCACTAAGTGCGTAAAAAAATAAGCGCACTGGTACTCCAATGATCAATCACGCAGAAAACATAGGTGCAAAGAATATAATTCTCCAGCTCGCGATACATACATACATAATATTTCATATACATTTTCCACGTACATTTTCTCGGATTTTACTCAGCAACGTTTCAAAGCGTACATGCAGCATGAGGGTGTTATAACAGGAAAATAAATACCATAATGGCCCTCGCAGAAGTCGATTATTGTTTGGTTTGTTCTTTACAGCTTTCACGCGACTGGGTTCGTCAAGTTAGTATCCGGGTTGAGATTCGCATAGTCTGGACACAGTCCCAGCCAATCAGCTGCGCAAGAGGAAGTAGTAAGCAACAAGACTTTCTGAAAATGATTAGAACCAACTTACGACCAGCCGGGTCAAATGAAGGGATGTCCTCTGCAGCTTCAGCGAGTACGACAGCCAATCCTCCTTCCAAGTGCCAGTTAATGTGACAGTGGAGGAACCAGGGTCCAGGATTATCCGTCATGAAGCGGAATGTCACGTTGTCTGTACCGCCTCCAATGCTAACTACATCGCGGCGGACAGGATTGACAAAGTTATAAGACGAGTTGCCTGACACGCGAATCACGTCGAACGCATGGCCATGCAAATGAATGGGATGCTTTAACACAGATGAGAATCGCTTTTAGAAAGCAAGTATAGTGCGTACGTTCCCGCCTCCAGGGAAGTTGATCTCAACGACTTTGTTTCGAGGAAGATTGTATACAGAACCTGGGGGCAGAAGCTGGTTTGCGTTCGTCGTTCCGGAAAGAATCTGAAGCAGAACGGGCACAGATGGAGGATTGAAGGGAACACCGTTAATTTCAAATTGGCCATCTGGGCGACTAATTTGCATCTGCAGCGCAAGGTCTGCGCCACCGACGAATGGCAGGCCGGGCTGTTAGGGCACCAGGTAAATGTTTGATTGAAAATGCCAAGAGTACTAGATGGGTGTTTACTTACAGCACCCGGATTCTTAATGGGCTGTTACTGGCGTAAGTATACGATTCAGTTATAGATGCCCGTGGAATAAATGCAACATACATGGAGATCCGCCTCATTCAGTACGACGGGATTTGCTGTTGCATTTGTCGTCGGTTCGGCGTCTGGGGCACCGTCATAACGCAGGATGGCTGAATTGATACCACCGTCCGTGGTTGATCCTGCCGGTGACGATGGAACCGCCCTGATCCCTGGATTTAAAAAGATGAAACTCGATTAGCGGTTGAAAGACAATACGGAGCAGTGGCTCACAGTAATTGTCAACAGGCTGATCCATTTCCACCTACTCTGTGTCAGAAACAGAAATATCCTAACTATTCGGCGAACGTACCACGACCGAATAACGCTGAGCTGTAAATATAAAAGTGGAGTTAGGAAGTTCCCTACACATTCTAACGACTGATACTGACCCGCGAAGATGTTCAGAGAATCAACCGTAACTGGTTCCGTTTCTTCGCCGTCCGCTTCAATAACAGTCATTTTATGACCATCAAGCGAAACTGTGAATCTTGGCATCTGATGAGTACCTTGTTTTCAATCAATGTGGAAAACGTACGAGGGGAAACAGCTCGCAGCGATAAGCCTCAATCGGTGACGTTTTCCTGGCTGTGCGCGTACAACAGCAAGATCACCGCCGGCGCTTGAACGGCCTTTCCCGTTTATCACAGTGGAATCTGGGACGCTTTATTGCTTAATTCAGTATACAGAGTCAGCACGAGAAGCGGAGTGACGCTCACGGAGTGCCGTTAGTTGGGTTGGGGAAAAGGACTGGTGCAATCGTATTGTACCAATCCGAAATCAATACGATTGTAGACTCTGAACAAACGACCACAATCAGATCTATCAAATAATAGACTCTAAAAACAATAGAAATGCCAACCGTCATCAACATCGTACAGTCCAGCGTGAGGATCGTTTGGGTCGTAGATGACCAGCGGCCCACTAAGGAAGAAGTCAGTAGGGTTCTCGAACCAAGTGTCCGGAGCTGAAAGTCTTACCGCAAACCATCGCAGTACTTTTCAGAATAAAAATTTAAGGTTAGAGTTCACGGCAGAAGAATTTTTGCTCACTTGAGTGGAGAGATGAGAATGATACCTGCATTTGGAACATTTAATTGCAAGCGCATACAGAGTACAAGAGTAATAAATGCTCACCAGTATGTTCCAGTTTGGTCTGGGACGCTGAAATTATACCTGGAGAATTATTTGTAACATTGACCTCAGACACAGTTGGTAATAATAACTCACAAGAAACTATGATCCGGCACGATTGGACATCTAAACGGTAAAATGAATTTCATCAAGCATGCTTTGAGTGTACAAAGATTACACTCACTGAGTAACGAAGGCAGGTCCGTCTGACTCTGGAGTATGATGTTGGAACATTCCATGCCAGTGCTAAAGTGTGAAGAAAGACACTAAGTTCCAAGGTGAAGTACTAGATTCAGATGCGGGACACACAATCGAAGTTGCCCTTCTCATTGTCGGGTCGGTTAGTTTATCTGTAACCCTGACCTGCACATGTCCAAGTCAACAACAATTCCGCCATCTGCTGGATTCATGATAGAACGAGTCCACACCAGGAAGCGGTCGCCGAAATTGCCAGAGATAAGTGGTCCTGGAAACTGCCCTTCAGCAGTCACGGTTCTGGTTGAGCGTAAGTCATACGGAAGAATTACAGGAATAATCCTGCGTGAAACTTACGAGCGACTAACACCATTAGGAGCTAGCTGGGCATTCTGGATGGTCAGATCTCTGACGACGTCGGCAGCTTCAACGGGTGGAGAGCGTCGTAGGGCGATCAGAACCAGAGGGATCAAGAAGGCTGAGTAGAACATTGGGAGTACCGGTCAAAGTGAGCAGGAAAGAATGGAGCTACCGCTGAGGAGAGTTTGGGTAGCACCAGCAGTCTACTTATACCGAAAAACAGTCTCTTTCTAAGCAATGTGCATAGGTAATTCCGACATCCATTTGCAAAACTGCGACAAACACGTTCAGACGAAGAACCCACGACATCGGCTCCGGTAGACCTAGATTGATGGTCTTCTGATCTTGGCACACCCTGCGTGCGAGAACTTTCATGTTGAAGAATCAATGTCAAAACTGGAGAATTGGAATTGTGAGAGACAAGTAGACCCTGAAAAAACTTGAATGGTCTCAACATAGTTCGGAGAGCCTATGTTATGATGCGTGTGCGGAGCGGAGCAGAATTTCCGCGTCGTGAAAGAATAGATAGTCCATTGACATGCATTGGTTGAAGGAACTAGCTAAAGTCGCTCAGGTCATAGGTCATGACAGAACCGGCCATCCCGGACGTGACGTAGACATTGCATGCTTGGGAATCATGATTACGCTGCATTCTTGGTAGACATAACATCTTCGAACAGCATGGATAATTTTGTTGGCCTCGGGACGAAGAGATAGCGGCTTTGAGCAAGTGTACAGTGCGGACGCCAGAACCAACATGCACTTTGAGGCAAGCCTTGGTACACGTCCAATTAGGATAAAGGCTTGCTGATTCGACGTTAAAGGAGCATGCAAGTGGATTGATAGAACTAGAATGCGCGACGTAGGCCTTCGAGAGGGAGCTAGGCCGAGTGACGGTCACTTATGCAGTTCCAAACAAATGTCCATTCAACGGTTCACAACTGAAGTAGTCGCACGTGGTTTTTGTCTTCCTCGTTTGGGAATGGAATCAGGAATCGACACTCTATGATTACTCCATTCGGCTGACGAGCTTCGACCACCACGCGTCTTCGTTCGTGCCTCAAATTTGTGTAGTTCAGCTCGCGAATCTGTCTCTTTTCTCATGTGTCTTGACAAGTAAGCTCAGAATCCGGCAGCGGAGAAGTGATTCGTCTCCGTTCAATTCAACGCGACTAACAGTCAGAAGACAGTGGTCGGATATAACCTCAGGGACAATTCTAGGACATTTCCGGCTGGCGAGAATGTCTCACTCTGTACAGATCTTCTTTCGCGTCAAAAAGCGTGAGCTTCTTGTCCCGTTAACGTGGATCGGAGGGAGATCCGCCAAGCCCGAACATTTCAATCCCGTGTGAGCAAATCAGTGACGTGTTATCCACGCTCCCTTCGGTTCCGGAAAACAGCTTGCCTTTCAGGAAATGCTCTCTGAACAACTACTTTGCGGCCTGAACTGCGATTGAACATAAAACAGATCTCTAAAGTGTCAATCTAAAGCCCACGACTGTTCGGACCATCTCCCAAGGGTTGCTCTTTCCCGAGAGTGTTTCGCTTCCGACAACACAGTACTCACACAAGACGAAGATTCAAACGAATCATTCTAGACGCCTTGTTAAGTATGCATCTGTTCAAGTAGCATATGAACGTGAGTGCAACTCCATCTTTTTTGACACTCACCGCTACTCTGCCAGTGTCCTTTGGAAGTTCTTCTGTTCATCATTAAGATGGAAGCCCAGGTACGCAGCAATTGCGAGACTAGAGGTACCGCAGTCCGGGAGCTTTGCACAAGCTCTGGGGTTTGGCGAGCCGTCTGCACCCCATTCCTAAGCATATGATGGACTAGGCTCCTGCTGAAAGTCTCAAAGCTAGGTTCTAATTTCGTGAGTAGATTTGTCTCATCTCCGTTGCGGACTCCCAGCCCAATTGATCTTTACATCTAACATACGGAACCGACGCATTCCCTTGCCAAACCTAATCCAAGTTATTCAACACATGCATTGATAGGAGAAATCTGTCGCATGGAGTACAAGGTTCAAGTATGCACATCTCTATGTGTGTGACGATTGAAAGTTACTCCTATGGCCGAAAGCGTCTAATATGTTGCTACAACACAAGCAGGTGCTCTATCGACCCTGAACTAAACACGTTTTGCCGACCTTCTGTTGGGTCCTGCCGACCAGAGTAAAAGATGTAGCGTACCATCTTCTAACTGATTTAGTCATCACTTTCAACTGTCTCATTGAGTCAACTCCAACCTCGCGCCTGTCCCCAAGGCTCTCTTACTTTTAAATATTTTAAATATCATGCCGAGCGAGAAAGTAGAGAGCGACGACGAAACACGTAGAGTCATGTCTACAAAGCAGACAACAGTTGGCAGGGCTAAGTTGAGCTGGGATAGATAAGGGCGGTTATGTTGACCTCTTGTTTCTTGTCCATGTCAAACAAGCCCGATGGCTTGAAGGTATGATGGTTCTTAAACCGCTGTCGTCTCCACGCTGCCACGAATATCAACAGAATCTCAATAATCATAAGCATCCACAAGTTACTGCAACCTTGCTTCCCTTAGGCTGCGGGATTGACCCGCCTTACTTTGTTTGATACGGTTTAGCGAATAGACATAATATGCAAACAAATGACAGAAAGGGTAACCGATATAATGACGGAATGGGTGTTAGAGCGTCCGAGCGGATGAGTTGGGATAGGAGAAACCAGATAAAATGAAGGGAAAACAGTGAACGGAAAGCAGTTGAAGAGCGCGTTCTCTAACGAAAGCAGGTATCCAGATCTACGCGACGTGATAAAGATATAAGAAATCAAATAAGTTATATGATCGTGGTCTGCAAATGCGGCGTGTTCAAGCCGACGTCATAGAAATAAATGTTCGTGACATCAATTCATAAACGAGGGCGTATTCCAGTGCTGAGGAACTGAACCGGAGTCATGACCTTCGCTGCCATGCCAAGCTGATGGCTGACTCTGGCTCTGTTGAGACGGATCCAGTTGTGTATAAAGCCCAGACGACTGCGAAATTATTGTGCTAAAAGGAGTCTGAATATGAGTGTTGAAACTGGAAGACATCCCATCGCCTTGGTCGTTGGCGCTGCCGATGGAGTTGGAATACGACATGTTAGAATGATGGTGGGCGTTAGGATCGGAATCTACATAGTGATTTAGTGTACAGTATTCATACGGATAAAGCATGCCTTACCAGGAACAGAGGAGTGCGCCGTCATAGATGGATCATATCCCGTCGGTTGCAGTGGGGACGCCGAGTAACCTTGACCGGACATTTGATAATGATACATCGACGAAGGGAAAGATGACGGTGCTTGTTGCGGCGTAGAGTCGACTGGGTGAGCGACAGGTAACATGAAGCCTGCCTCTCCAGAGGCGTGTTCTGTCATTCCACCCGTTGACCTGGCTCCATCGTGTGCATCGTATGTTGACAGGGGAGAAATGGGACTCGCAGATGACATTTCACTAGAAAAGCGAGGCGGCGGGCCGGAAGAGTACTGCGAATGAGTAAGTTGTGGTCGATAGTCGGAAATTGCTTGTGAGTGTGTAGGAGATGAAGCATAACGATCAGAAGCCGCTTGAGTCACAGCTGAGTGTGGAATGTTGGGAGCATGAACAGCATTTATTCGATCCTTAAGGCGCTGACGGATACCAACCACAGGAACGTGCTTGTGCTGTTTCGATTTGGACTTCATATTCTTTGATACTTGTGAACGTGAATCATCGTGAAGGGTAGCAGCATTCGAGCACACGAACACTGGGGAAGACCGATGCTCTACTGTGCCGGCGATTTCAGAACTGGTTGTGACGTTTCTGTCGGGAGAACGTTCTTCCGACGGTGTCCTATACTGATTGATAATGCCAGAGCCCATGAATGGCAAGCGAAATGAACCATCAAATTGACTCGTCTCAGCTTCAACTTCATCGTGTTTACGTTTTACACCTGCAGCAATCGGTGTACTCCGTTGTCTGGCCTTTTCCGCACGATTCAGAAGCATCTCGAGGATAGTCTCGGCCTCAGTTTTCTGTACCGTGGGCTGTCCATTCCGCGAAGTATCACGCTTTAAAATGTGTGCCAAAATATCGATCGCAACCCGAACTGCATCAGTAACGACGGGTGAAGTGTACAAAGGCTGCTGGATTGCAACGTATGCTAGCACGACCGCAGCGTCGAAGAGGCGACGAGGAAAAATGTACATGTGGTACGTTGCAAACGGAACATCCGGTGCGTAAGTCATTTGAACCTGCGCAGCATGCACAATGGCAAGAGCAGGCTCGACAGCCTTCAATGCTATAAACTTCCGTTCCGGAGGTATCGAGGACTTGTTCCAGAGCCAGGAGAAGTCAGATCCTTGCTGGATTGTCGTGAATGCGGAGGGACAAACTGTTGGAGTAAAAAGGCGCATGATGCTGAAGTAGGCCATGAACGCCAGATCGCATCTCTGAGTAATAAGCAGAGCCCGAGCGGCATCATGTTCCGGTTGAGGACGTGCAACCGCAGGAGGTCGAAGAGGAGTCATAGGTGGTGGCGAGGAGTCGATTGGAGGTATCTCATCTTCTTCAGTGCCTCCAAGTTTCAACCGCTCGGGAAGATCGTTAAGCCACTTCACGATATCATCTGCAATTTTTTGTGCTACAGATATACCTGAATTACCCGAGTCTTCGGAATTCGGAACTAGACCACTCCGGAAGATTCGTAGAGGGACGCGCTTGGCGATCTCAATCAAACTAGCGATTTTCACGGCGGTTACATTTGACAGCCGACAAAAGCACAGGAATTGCGAAAACCAGATTGAATGTCTAACACAACTGAAAGGGAAAATCGGGGACTAACCGAATTTTGACAATCCCGAAAGTCAGATTCCTCTCTGGCAAGCTGTCGTCTGGCGGAGGAACAATGGTTGAATCCGGATTGAAACGAGTATCGTCAACATTTGATGGACAGCGAGTGGTATATTCCCCATACTGGATGGTGGCATTGTACCCGTACGCGTCAGAGACGAGGCTGAGGCGATATCAGCGCACTGCCGCGACTCCAGATCATACCAGGAGTAGAAAAAATGCACTCACATGTCGAGCCACACCACTTCCCACCACAACCTCCTCCTTACTTCCTTCATAAACAGACTCATTCTATTTATGGATGACTGTGTCTGCGGATAACCAGTACCGTCTTCGCGTTTCACAAAGGTGAAAAGTCCATTTTCACTTTGAACCGTCTTCGCTTCGGAGTAGTTTTCGTCGTTATCAGGTGGGTCAAACTCGTCCGGATCGACACCCAGACCCATCGCGCGAGCTTCCCAGACAAGTGTCCCAACTAGGCCAGGAAGCTCCGCTGGTACGAGTGCATCCTGGCAATCCGTACTTGTTGCATGAGCCAAGAGTAGATAGCGGGCACTAAGTATGTAAGTGTGTATCAGGGCGGGATCGCGTGCCGCATGTCCATGACGTGCAGTATTCATGGAGAGTGCCAAACGAGCTAATCGATAAAGTGCGAATGCTGTGGTCAAGTCTGGACGGTCTGGCTCGGCGTCGCAATCGCTGAACGAGTTTCCTTCGCTAGCTTGAGAATACGATGGATCACTGGGGGGCTGCGTCAAGTGATGTGCACCCATTCGTTCTAAACCAGCATCAGCAGAGAATGCTTCAAGTGAACTACGTCCAGCTGCTGCACGAGCGGTTCCCCTTATGGATGCCTCGGTCGCCCAAATTAACGCACCAAAGGCTAAGCATACTGCCGCCTCCGCTATACTGCTAAATGAAGGCGCCGAAGGCTTTGCGGAGCTGCTCATGGGTCCTTCGCACGTCTCCGAAGTATAAGAACAAACTGCTTCAATTCTCGCACAGAGTACGTTGAATGGTATGCAGCTCATGCCTTCTGCAAGAATAGCGATGCGAAGCCGTGAAATCATGACACTTCGGGTGCGTCGCGGAGGGAGCCGTTTCAGAAGTTCGATAGCTAAAACCTCGTACATGTCGGAGATAGTGTTAGGCACTTCTTCTACATCCATCGTAGCATCTTGTGATTCCACCCCTTTCGGCCGGTTTTCACGGGACATGTTATTAGTAGGCGTCGAAGGAATACTCAGCCCAGCGAACATCGCGAGTCTCTGTGCCGCAGGTAACGAGCGCTTTCGTCCAAAGCCGAACAACGGCATGTTACGAGACAACTCGCGGTCAATAGGCTGTAAATCCAACCGCGCTTTCTCGCTTGAAACCATGTTTCCGACCACGGAACGTGATGTCTGTGTTGAATCCCACGGATCGCAATCAGACTGTCGCGTGGCAAGAGGAAATTCGAGTGCGAGCTCCGCTGAGCATTCACGAACCCAGAGTGCTGCCGCACCATCTAAGGGAGCAGCAACGCTAGCGCCGCGAGAGTTATTTGCCAGCGCAAGGACGCGCGGGATACGCGGGCCTAGTGTCGAACCGGACAGACGAGCATCTGTATGCGTGCTCGAATTAGCAGCGACAGCTGAGGCGTACACGCCTGGTATGGAGTAACTGGGTGCGCCAATGGCGGGAATATGGCCAAGATGTGCCTGCGTTTGCTGCATAAAAAGATGCGGACCAGCTTGCCACGGCAATCCTGATTGAAGATGCTGCTGGTAACCTTGAGTTGGAACACCAAGTGCGTTGAGGCTGCCCTCTACGACGCGCAGACGATTGTTAATAGATGTAACGTCTCTGAAATGGCCAGTTCAAATGAGTAAGTGCTATTTTTTCGATATGAGCGAGAATAAATAAAAATAAAAATAGGAAGAGTCATGAGCTTTGGGAAATATTAATCTTGGGTTGCAGGCTGTACACGAATGTTTACCGTGCGGACTAGCACATGCGTTATAGATACAAGTAGAACTCGCTCGCAAGAGCATGTGCAGCGATACGAATGGTTCATTCGGAGAGGATATACGCACACTTTCTCTATCGCAGCAGGAGTATAAATGCAGCGAGAAACGGTATTACGTTTGGTACAAGATTCACAGGGCATTCGCCTGTCACATTTGAGCTTCTGCTTCTTACACTAAAATCGACCAGAATCCTTGATTATTGCGTCGTGAAAACAGGATAGAATGTGTGGACATACCTCCGCACATACAACAGTGACTCGCGAACGAATGCTATTGTGAGATAATAAGCAAAACAGCGCCTGGGAAGAACATCACTACAACGCACGTCGGAATATTGTTGACCAGCTGCATGCCGACAGACGGGGTCTGTCGTGAGCTTACCTGCCCAACCGACGAGATGCTTGCAACATCGTCCTTCCCGGCGGGATCTGCAGGCTTCGGGCTGTCAGCGGCATGTTTCGCGAAATCAGTCGTATCGGAATCATTATCGTGTCTCCAAGGATTCATTATAACGTATACCTGGCCTGCTGCTTGCTGCTTGTAGCACGAGAAGTACCACTTCAGTCTGCCGGTCCACCCGCCGAATCCTCGTTCTCACCAGTGGACGGGAAACAGATGCCGGGCCGAGGCGAACCTAGATTGCTTGCGAGGTCTTCTGAGGGCGATTCAAGACCGCCTCAGTGGGAATTGGACATGAGGAGTGCATAACAAGTTGGTTGCAGTTACATCCATGAGCACGCCAAATTTGTATACACAAGTGGAATAATATAGACGTAATAGCGGTAACGTAATATTTTCTTACCGTACTTTAACTAATAAAGTTTTGATGGATGGGGTTCGGAATCATTTTGTTTTCGCACAGCTTCTCTTCACCACGGTTCGGCCAGGAGTCCAGGACTCTGTCAAGGACATTCTTTGCACCATGTAGCATATCGCTAAGTATTATAATCTTTTTTCAGCTTAGCTCACGTCGTCTTCCCCACTAACACAAATCAACCTAGGCCGACAATTCCCCATCAATGGGAATGTACTTGACGACCTGGATGCATTAATTTTCGACGCAGTCTCGGTACAGTCATTCCTTGCTCTATACATTACGTCCCACGCAAAATGCAACGGGTGCTGTAAGTTTAACACATGTCTTCGTCCTTAATGCCTCACGTTGCGTCAATTCAGCCAGCAAGGCTTCGAACCGAATATCTCGGCGGGGGCAAAACGGAATCCACGGCTCCAACAAATGAAAATAATTAGAAGAGTGCCGTCACAGAACTTGGTGACATGTCGGTCAATCCTATTCTCTCATTTCATAGAGCGCGCATTTCGAGGAATCATTATTGTACGCGATTTCACTGTACTGTACCCATCTGTATGGGTACAACCGTAACGTGTAACGCAGGGGTGGTTTGGTTGCTAGCAGTAACGCGTAACGCATAGCAGTAGTTGCTTTCCCTTAAGGAGCGTTACAACGGTTACATAGTTTTAAGCAAGCATTATATTATATAAGACAATTCAAGTGTAGTTTTGTTACTTTTGTATACTACAAGTGTTAGAAATTTTGAAAAGCTTATTGGATTGTTACGATTGAATTTATATACTAATACTAATGTAGTATAGTAACTTCCGGCAACGTCCGTCTGGTTGTCTGTATTAGCAACTGTAACGCGTCCACATAGTTAGGTTTCCAATTTCCACCGGTAACGCACTCTGCCTGGTTGTACCCATACAGATGGGTACAGTATCTTCGAAAAGGAATTGATCGTCAATATATGTCTTTTCCAAAATTCTGTTCTTTCACTTTGTAGATTAAAAATAGCTGAACATCCAGAAACAGGATCAATAAGTAATGCCAGTCTGTATTCGATCGAGTTCACTTTTATTCTTAATGACTATTCTACACAAACAGATTGTTCAAGACAGGAATGATGGTTGTACTTCTACGTTTAACGATTTGTCCATGTTTGATACAACATGGGTTAACCATACAGGCGTTCTTCTTCACAGAAAGGAAACAGAAAAAAGAGAAAAGGATTGTTGAATGTATGACTAGCTTGTTCTTTGAGCTGTCAAACAGGTTTGGGATATTGAGGTTGTTCAGGCGGCTGTAAGAGCAGTTAGTAAAATACTTTCCTATCCATAAAGTTCAGTCTAACTTACAGGCGCGTTATGTGGTTGCCAAGCATTACTGTGACCGTCCGTGCCTACATGTTCTGGTTCCGGCATTACGAGTCCTTGCGGGGCCAGTTCCGTCTCCGTATCCACTGCCGCCGTTCCTGGAATATCTATTCAGCATCACTATCACCACTGCAAAGTGATTCATATTTACCATTATTGTTGCCTTTGGAGCGACGAGGTATGATCCTAACGTCAGAGGAACGAATATTTCTGCGCCTACGTAAATAGATTGCGAGAATGATGCAGAAGATCAAGGTTACGACAGCAACTTTACGGTTCTCATGGTTAGTAGATCACTAATGACAGAAAGAACAAACGTTCGTACTTATAACTATCGCCGCAATAATTCCTACAGATACGTGGATATGCGTCTTTTTAGTTGTTCCATTGCGTTTCTTGGCCTCAACACCAAGAGCAGCACTGGCCAGTACAGCCGAAACATGCACAAGAAAGCGCACTGAGCTAGACGAAAAAGAGTACATCGTGGAATGCAGGAGAGTTGGTAGCACGGTCTGGCGCGATTTGTACGCTTTAAAAAAGCATAGGACGTGGCCCGTGTGGCCATAGTTGCTACTTGATCGATGAAATAGGCATGTACGCAGGAGGGCTAAAGCGGTGAACATAGCAAGCCATGGGCTACGAATCGATAGATTATGTCACGTGACAACAGTTTCACCTCAGGTCTCGAATGATCCTCTCGTTCCTTCACCATATATTTAGTTTCTCCCTTTGCATTGATATTCCAATCCAGTAGGCTTACGACGCAATTATATGTATGTTATTACAGATCATGGTGTAGAAGACGTAAACTTGAACGCTTAGGGTACACTGCGACGGTGCGACCTCGGACCAACTGAGGAAGTGGTGCATGCCGCACATCAGGTCCATCGAGATCCCATAATTACTTCAATGATGGTATTGAGCTTTTACAGCAAGATTTTCCTTCAGGCGTCATAGAACTAAGAAATTTGATCTTCAAGAGCTGCATATATGATTCCGTCTACTGATTCACAGTAAAGATTTTGCTCGTTTATAGCACCCCTAAAGTTTCTACAATTTTACAACTCGATTTGCAAGGTCATGTAAAGTACAAAACAATAGTGGGCACAAATGATTAATATTATAAGGCTCCTAGGCCTGTTGAATCCAAGTTTGTCCGTGTATACATCCAGATAAGGCGATAAGGTAGGAGTCCATATACTATAGACGTTTGGCTTCGTGATTTCGATACGGTGAAAAGCGTGACATGAATAAGAAGAATCATCTTAACTGTATACAAAAATACTAGTCCAATATCTATGCTTGTTGGTACGGCGGCGGGACGGAAGGCTATAACCGTGGTCAGCAATCGGAACTCCTGCCCAAAACGACACCTTAACTCACAGGTGCATAATTTTGCTGTCCTGCATTGAAGTGGCCATGTGCACCTCCGTGAGTCGGTTCTGGCATTGCTATTCCTTGAGTACCCGGGCCCTTGTTGGCCTGTCCCATGGATGGAGCTGCACTGTTCTGTGCTGCGGCACGATTTCCTCCAGACCTGCCAAAGCGACCTAGCCCAAATCTGCCAGTCCCATATCCCCCGGAAGCAAGAGGCTGCATTCCAGCACCAGTGGCACGGCGGCGCCTACGAAGGCAGAGGCATGCACAAATACAAAGTAGCAGAAGAGCAACAACGATAGCTTCACACATCAGATAGTCAGTATGCAGTCGCAAGTAAAGGAGAAGATAAAACCGTACCAATAACTATACCAGCGATAGCTCCTGCTGCAATCCTTGATCCCCTCGATCTCCCAGAGCTGCTAACCCTCCGCGCATCGGCACATAGAACACTTTTGTTAAGAACAACGACGGACGCAAGCAAATACTGTACCCATCTGTATGGGTACAACCAGGCAGAGTGTGTTACCGGTGGAAATTGGAAACCTGACTATGTGGACGCGTTACAGTTGCTAATACAGACAACCAGACGGACGTTGCTGGAAGTTACTATACTACATTAGTATTAGTATATAAATTCAATCGTAACAATCCAATAAGCTTTTCGAATTTTCTAACACTTGTAGTATACAAGTAACAAAAGTAACAAAACTACACTTGAATTGTCTTATATAATATAATGCTCGCTTAAAACTATGTAACGCTCCTTAAGGGAAAGCAACTACTGCTATGCGTTACGCGTTACTGCTAGCAACCAAACCACCCCTGCGTTACACGTTACGGTTGTACCCATACAGATGGGTACAGTATGCTAAGGGCGACGATGTAGAGTGGATCATATTGAGTGGAAGGGATCTGTCTCGGGCGTCCCAATGAGCTCAGAGCTCTTTATATGAATGACGGCAGTGGTCATTGTTGACACAGCTGTGGAGCAAGCATTTTCTCGTGTATATAAGGGTCTGGAGCGAAACTAGAATAGTTTGATGAAAGTACGAAACGATGAACGCACACACTGTAAAAAATGTCACGTGACTTAGTAAAGACAGACTCTTCCGCTTCCGCATTTTGTCTTGGTTGCATTATCTATTTGTTTTTTCTTACCCGAGTCTTGCTTCATCACTGTACAGAAGCATACATCATGGTAGCTATTCTGGATTACTGTCACAATTTCTCAGGTCCAGACATTGTCTCCACTTTTGACTTTCTTGACACTATCTTGTTATACTTTGTACAGTCATGTGGCAGAACAGTGCAGTGTGTAAAACAGTTGACTGGCTTTTCTGTAGTGGAACAGAACTGCCTCGTCCAAGGGACATTAGGAGGGCAACTGGGTGATTATGTTGTTGGAGGATGCTAGAACAATTGAATGTTACTATGCTCTAATGGGTTCTTACAGAGGAATTAGCTTTAACAAAAAATCCTTCTTTTGAATTTTATAAGGGTCTCTAGTATAGTATGTTATGGTATTTCCCAGTATGAGTCTCTAAAAAGAAACACTAGAGCTGCTAGTATGTACATTACAAGATTTTCTAACTAGACTCTTAAAAATATTACTTAGTACACTCTAGCTACTACTCTTTTATTAGCAGAAAACACTAGTGCCCTCTCAGCTATACTCAACCTTAACTAAGTAGAGTATAAAATACAATAAAAACTGTTATAAATAAAGTGTAAGTATTGTAATATAGAGAGAGATACTAATTAGAAGTAGAACAGCTTAGAGTAGTATATAAATTTATAGTATTAAGTTATTAACTGAACTAAAAGAGGATAGAGATTGATTATCAAGTTCTAGAGATTGGTTTAGAGAGAGAAGAGAAATGTGTATAAGAGAATTATTAAAAATATTAAGAATGTTATAAGAGAATTATGTTAAGAGAATGTGTTTTTTTAGATTAATAGTATACTATAAGCCTACCTTATAGCTTACAACAGCTTTTGTACTGTTCTGTACCTCTCTTAGTGTAGAACCACATTTCTAAACCCAGACCTTCTCTCAAGCCTAGACCTCCTTAGTGTGGACCCTAGAGTCACACACATTTCCTCTTTTGTCTTTACACTATGTTTCCTTATTGTCTGAGTCACATACTCTTCATTCTTAAGTACATACACTCTCCTTTTCTCTTTAGTATTGTTTTCCCCTTTAGGCATGAGCCACCTTTGTTTCATTTCTAGTATATATAGTTTCAATCTTTCACCTTTGTTACACTAGTTCTTATTCCTGACTGTAACAAAGATACTTTTGTCCTGTTAGTGTTCTACATGTGTTAGTAAACCTGGAACTTAACAGAACTTGTTTACAACAGTGTTTAGCACTTCCCTAGTACTGTTCTACTTTTTTTTTAACATTAACAAAGTAGTCTTTGTTGTACTACATGTTAGTAAGGTTCTCCTAACCTTCCTAAACATCTCCTACTGTTAGTAAGGTTCCTCTAGCCTTCCTGAATACTCCCTACTGTTAGTAAGGCTTCCTAGTCTTTCTAAACACACTACTATAGTCTTAAAGCAAGTTTGGCTCTCTTCCTAGCTACATATAACTAGGTCTTATTTCCCCTAGTACTAAGTATCTTTAGAAGCTACTATAGTTACCCCTCTGTTGACTAGAGAAACTGTATTTACTTCCTCTATACTACTACTATTTACAGTAACCCTAAGTTTAGATTTAATAAGTAGCTTAGACCTCTCAGAACTAGAAAGTAACATAAGTAAGCTACTTACCCTAAACTACTAAAAGGCTATAATGTTCTATACTATATTAACTAAAGCTTAGGTGGTTTGAGAAAGTGTAACAAAGCTTCTAATACTAACTCTAAACAATCTGACACTATACACTCTCTAGTTATAAATCTCTACATTCTACAAGTATATGTTTGCCAAATCTGTCCTTACAACTTATATAGTTACAGTTGTAATAGGATGTCTATAGAATAGTAGACTATACTAGTAGTACAAGTATGACTAGCTAAGGCTTGAAGGGCTTATACTAGACACATTCTATTAAGAGCTTTAGTATAAAATACTCTCTATAGACTAGGTAGTATAAACCTAGAACAGACTGTTAGTAATATAGTAAGATAGTTGTAACTTCTGAGAATAGTAGCTATAGGTTACTAGGATCAACTTTAGTCTTCTAGAAGATTAGTGTCTTGATTCTAATAGGCTTTACAAACTTCTCAAAGCTAACTTACACTCAGACCTCTAGTTCAAGCTTTGTCTTACACTTGTAAATTTGGTCCTAACACATTCTGAGCAGCTTGTAACATATACAGAAAGGTTGTATATAGTGACCTTAGTAAATAGCTAGATTCCTGATCCTACAAATCACCTCCTGACTCTAGAACTAGTTCTAGAAAAAGAAGTAACAGATTGTGCTAGACTCTATAGATAGTTAGAACATGTGTGTAAACTAGTAAACTAGTTAGAAGTAGACTGTACAAAGGTTTACAACAGTGTAAAAGTAATACTTACAGTAGAACAGGCCTAAAAGAAGGATTAGAAGAAGTAGTGTATAGGAAAGGTTATCTCTACAATAGTTAGTTTAAAGACTGTCTCAGAAAGTACTACAAAGTGTATTAGCTTGTCCTATACAGAGTGCTAGCTTCTAATAAAGAACTAGGAATGTTTCTAATACTATAAACCCTTTGTAGATTATAGGAGGGACAGTTGCCCTATGAGTCTGTCTAAACTAGAAGATATAGTCTCTATTACAGAAGTATATATTGAGTCCTTATGTCTAAATTAGAAGTCTGCTACTCCTGTATAAACAGAGTAGTTGTTAGTAACAGTATAAAGGGGACCCAAAGGCTTAGTAAGGAGACCCAGGCTACAACTATCCTACACAACAGAAATACAGAATACAAGTACTAGAACATAGTCAGAACTTACAGAACAGACAGAGAGAGAGAGTGAGACAAGAGTAGAGTATATAGAGTAAGTCTAAGAGTATAGAACTATCTAGAGTAGACAAGATCAAGACTACAGGACTAGTCTGATCTTGTACACCTATATATACTAAACTATACAAGAGTACTTAGAGAATATGAGTTACTAAGAATGATAAGCTATGAGGAATAAAAGAAATAAAGGTCAAAGATAAAGGTACAAAGAATAAAGGGATAGACAAAGGGTAGGAGATTATAGAATGAACAAAGAATGAAAGGGTGGTCAAAGGAACAGAATAATAAAGTAAGAAGGAGTAGTAGTAAGAGTTAGTATGTATATAGTTTATAAACAGTACTCTTAAGAGACAGAAGTCCTAAGTTCTAGTACAGAAGGGTGTAGAACCCTTAGAACTAAAGGTATGAGAGTAGAGAACCATAATATTACCCTCTCTCTAAAACTAATTATTCTAATTAGTAAACATTAGGCTTGGTTAGTAGTTTAGACATAAGTTAGAACAGTAGGGTTTGGAAATCCATAAGGTAGAGTTGATACAGAGCACTCAGATAAAGTTGATAGAAGTCTTAGATTACTTTAAGAGTATAAGTAAGGTTCTTAGTAGGTTCTCAAGTGTACTCCTTAACTAGGTACCCTTTCTAGTAAACAAGGAATTTGAGTTTTCTATACAGTAGCTTAACATCTACTATGTACTCTACTTTGTATTCTGGTTTAGAACTAATGAGTTCTGGTAGAGACAGTAGGGGTCTTTGTTGTAAAGGAAAACCTAGATTATAGTACTAAGACAACAGAGCCTTATTAAACACTGAGTGTATACACTTCTATGTTGTTAGAAGTTAGAGTTTGTAAACAGAGACACTAACCTTCTTTTTAATGACAAAGGGTCTGAAGCACTTGTTGTCCAACTTCTTTATAAGTAATCTAAGGTCAGATTAGTAACTTCTAGTATAACTTTGTTACTAGGCTAGTAATCCTTAGCTACAGACCTCTTCTAATTATAGTTCTACTTTATAACTTGTATTACCTTCTTTAAAAGAGCTTATACATCCTCCTTAGTCTTATGTATCTACTCTGTAAAGTCTGTTACAGATTCAGAACTACTGTTCTAGTTTAGAACTGTCTCTTAGTACAAATGTCTCTTATGATTGAGAAAGAACAGAGACTGTCCTGTTATAGAGTGTTACTAGTTATTGTGTACAAATTCTGCTAGAGCTAACTATTCAGACTAGTCTAACTACTAATGATTAATAAACATTCAGAGATAGAGCTTAATCTTCTGGTTGACTTACTTAGTTTAACTATTAGTTTATAAGTAATATATTGTTACAATTCTCTACTCTCTTACCTTCAGTTCTGAGGGTTCTACACCCTTCTGTACCAGAACTTGGGACTTCTGTCCCTCAGGAGCACTGTTTATAGACTATATGTGTGCTAACTCTTACTACTACCCTTCCTTACTTCATCATTCTATTCCTTTAACCACTCCTTCATTCTCTGTTCATTCTATAGTCTCTTACCCTTTATCCATCCCTTCATTCTTTGTACCTTTATCTTTAACATTCCTTTCTTTCATTCTTCATAGCTTACTATTCTTAGTAGCTTATACTCCCTGAGTACTCTTGTGTAGTTTAGTATATATAGGTGTACAAGATCAGACTAGTTCTGTAGTCTTAATCTTGTCTACTCTAGGTAGTCCTGTACTCTTAGACTTACTCTATATACTCTACTCTTGTCTCACTCTCTCTCTCTGCTTGTTCTACAAGTTCTGACTATGTTCTAGTACTTGCATTCTGTACTTCTGTTGTGTAGGATAGTTGTAGATTGGGTCCCCTCATTGAGCCTTTGGGTCCCCTTTATACTGTTGCTGACATTAGATTAAGACTACCTATTACTACTCTACAACTCTCCTACATTTTGAGTATTAGTACTCACTATTATATCAATCTCTTTTCTTTGTCCCAACCCTTTTACATTTCTAAATTTTAAACTTTTGCCACCCTTCTTCTATTCATTACCCCTTTTAGTTTAGTGCCAATCCCTTTATAGTATAGACATGGACCCTACTACACTAACTGCTACCACTACTGTTCCACCAGATCAGTAGTTACAAGTAGAACTAGCTTAATACATACAGACCTCTATCTAAGAGGCCTTTACTAACTACATACCTCTAGCCCCTTTAGAACCTGTTCTGGTTGTTCCAGAAGTTGCAACTTGTTCTAGAAAGAAAGTACACATAGTCTGCCCTTCAGACTTTAATAGGTAGTACTTTGAGGACTTCTAGTACTAAGTTAAACTATATATGACTGCTACTTTAACCAATCTATCCTCAGATCTTAATTGTGTCCTATTTGTCCTCTCCTTTATAAAGGAAGGCAACACAGCCACCTGGGCCCAGAACTGGATTAAAGGCCATTAGATTGAAGGTTATTAGATCAGAAGCCTGATCCAACTTTAGAACAATGAGTTGTACTCAGAATTTATAAGGCAGCTCTGTACTTCCTTTATCAACCTGAATAAGAAGTACAATGTGTAGAACAAGCTTGTGTCTCTGTGACAGGGCAAACATTCTACTAATGCCTTCTTTTAGGAGTTTGATATCCTAGTCTAGAAGGTAGGATTTATACTCAGGTTTGATAATGTTCTTATTAGAATGCTTAAAAAAGCTCTTCACCCAGAACTAGTTAATAAGATTCTTAGAATAATGCTAGAACTGGTCACTTACACTGAGTAGAAGATGTGTGCCATTTCCTTTGACTAAGCTGTAGCCTAGATGTGTTAAGTTTGTGTAGAATACTTACACATGTGTCTAGCTCTAACAGTTCTGAGTCCTCAGATTGATCTGCCTGTAACTCACAATTAATCTGTTCTAATAGACATTAGAGAAGCCTGAAAGTAAGGAGCATACTTTGCCTACAGAAAGTCAGGGCACCAAATTAAGGACTGTCTACAGAAGTAACAGTATATCTGTTAGGTCATTAGAGTAATAACAAGTAATGAGCAGGATTTGTAGTAAGAAGCCTTTTCTACAAATCCAGAAGTCACCTTAGAACTCCTAGACTCTGACTACATACTCTAGGATTTTGTAGAGGCCTAACAGTGAATGTAGTACTAAAGAGTTATGACTCAGATTTTTTAATAACCACTTTTGATTCAATAGACACTGTAGGATTAGAAGTAAATAAAGTAAGAAAAGTAGAAAAAGTAGAAAAAGTAGAAAAAGTAGAAAAAATAAATTAACAAAATTATTTATTAGAAAGAAAAAAGTTGAAAACAAAAGTAGATAGTTCTCCTATTTCTTCTGATTCTTTTGATTCTTCTCTTCACACTTTATCTGAGTCTAAATCTACACAATCTGACCTACTACTTCTGTATTCTAAGATCTTAGAACATTTAGAATACTACTTAGCCCTATTCACTACTCAGTAGTTTGTCTGTAGTATTAAGCAGGGATGGCCTCAGCTGAGTTCACAGCTGAGGACATAGGTCTGTCCTTGTTGAAAGAGAGAGGTTAATAAGGAAATGTTAGTGTATATACTCACCCTCTTAGACAACAAGGCTGTACAAGTTGTATGTTCCCTTCAGAACAAGTAGTAGTTCATTTAAGAATGTTCCAGACACTAGCTCTAAGTCTCTGTCCTCTTGGCTCCCTTCTCAGGATCCTCCCAGATTCAAACAATAGCTCTAGTAAATAGTAGATGTACTAGTTTGTACATTAATAAGACTTTTGTACAGGAACACTACCTCCCTACTCAATGTGTTCCACTTCCAATCCTAGTATATAATGTGGACAGAACCCTGAACCAGAATGGTCAGATTACTGAGTTTGTCTAACTACAGATGACTATTCAGGATTATAAGGAAAGTATAGAGTTCAGAGTCACCAACCTTAGAAAGACAGACATCTTTATTAGATTCAAATGGCTCAAGGCTTACAACCCTACTATTGACTAGTTAGAGTAGACACTTGTGTTCAATCAGTGTCCTAAGTCTTGTAGCTACCTTATACTACTGTTTTGAGTAGATACAGATGCTTCTAATGTTACTAACAGTTCTAATAAAGGTGACTAGTTGTTCTTCTTCAACTGAGATAAATATGTGAATACATATTCTAGTCAAGGTAGAACAGAGTTGATCTGAAGGATGTTTGAGACAGAACCAGTCTAGAACCCTCTCAGAACAACTCTACTCTGGAACACACATAGACCTAGCTTGCCAGATTTTGTCTGAGAGTTCCCTAAAGTCTTTAGTAAAGAGGAATTTGACTAGCTTCCTAAACACTGTCTCTAGGACTATGTAATTGAATTAACTAAGGGTTTCCAACCTAAGGATTGTAAGGTCTACTTACTCAACAGAGACAAGTAGGAGGCACTTGACAAGTTCCTTTAGGAAAATCTTTAGAATGGCTGGATCTGACTCTTAAAGTCTCTTATAGCCTCCCCTTTCTTCTTTATCAAAAAGAAAGATAGGAAGCTCTGTCTAGTCCAGGATTATTATTGTCTTAATAAGGGTACTGTCAAAAACAAGTACCTACTCCCTCTAATTCAGGAGCTTATTAATAAGATACATACATTCAGGGTTTTCACTAAGTTGGACATTTGATAGGGATATAATAATATTTGGATCCAAGACAGAGATGAGTGAAAGGCTGCATTCTGAACTAATCACAGATTGTACAAACCAACCATAATGTTCTTTAGACTAACTAACTTACTTACAACATTCTAGTCATTCATGAATCACATCCTCACAGATCTGATTGACTCAGAGCATGTTAGTGTGTATCTGGATAACATTCTGATCTTCACCTAGACAGTTGAGTACTATTACTGACTGATCTAAGTAGTTCTACAACAGCTCTAAGATAATAAACTGTTCCTCTAAGAAGCAAAGTACTCTTTTGTACAGGAGTCAGTAGATTATCTAGGCTTTGTAATCAGTAGAGGAGAGGTCTGTATAGATCCAGCAAAGGTAACTGTAGTTCAGAACTAGTTACAACCTTAGAACCTGAAACAGGTCTAAGTGTTCCTTAGGTTTGTAAACTACTACTAATGCTTCATTCAAGGTTTCAGTACTATTGTCCAGCCCCTTCACAATCTCACCAGCAAGGATGTTCCTTAGTAATAGAATGATCAGTAGTAGTCTGTGTTTGAGTCCCTCAAGTAGGCTATCACTAGTAAGCCTATATTAGTAGTTCTAACAGTTGTAGACAAGTTCTGAGTTAAAGCTGACTCTTCTGACTTTGCAAATAGAGTAGTACTGTCCTAGTTCATTGACAGAAAGTAGTGTCTAATAGTATTCCAATTAGAATCCCTCTCTGTAACAGAACAGAACTACCCTATCTATAACAAGGAACTCCTTACAATTGTCTGTTCCCTAGAGGAGTAGTATTAATATCTCCTTAGTACTGTACAGAAGTTTAAGATTTAGAGTGATTACCTTAATCTCTAATACTTCTGGGTGCCTCAGAAGCTCAACTGCTACCAAGCCTACTGGATGTTAGAACTGTAGGACTATGACTTTGTACTGACCCACAAACCTAGAACACAAATGACAAAAGCTAATTTACTCTTAAGACAAGTAGGTCATAAAAGGAGGGAGAATAATAATGAAAATCTTGTTCTCCTAGACAATTCCTGTTTTGCATCCAAGACAATCCAAGAGATCTGACTCAAATCCAAGAATGTTGACTTTGTCACCTGTATTTAGTAAGCTCTAAGACACATACAGGACCAGGTTATAGTAAAGTAGCTGGAAAAGCAGGCTAGGGATTAGGAGGAGGATAAGGATGGACAGGTTTACTAGGAAGGCCAACTGTACATTCTGAAGGATCAGAAGCTGTAGGAGGACATTGTCTGAGCTTATTACAACAATCCAACCACAGGACATCTAGGCTGACACAAAACACAGGAACTTATTACTCAGAACTACTAGTAGTCTAGAATATAGAGGGAAATCCTGAAGTATATGACTGGTTACAATATGTGCTAACAGACTAAGGCCTACTAGACAAGGGTTCAGACTCCCTTACATCTGTATTGGATTCTGGATCACTCTTAGAAAGAAGTCTCAGTAGACCTGATTAGTAAGCTACCTGAGTCTTAGGGTTATAATACTATCTGTGTGATTGTTAACTGATTCTCTAAGCAAGTCTACACAGTTCTGACCCAAACAGAACTCACTTCTAAAAGTATAGTGCACATTTATCAGGATCATGTCTTCCAGTTACACAGACTCCCTCAGAAGCTCATTCATGATTACAGACTGTAATTTGAGTCAAAATTCATGTAGGACTTGTATGTACTTCTTAGAATTCAAGGGAACCCTTCTACTATCTATCACTTACAGACTGACAGTCAAACTGAGCAAGTCAATCAGGAGATCAAGCTCTACCTTCAGATGTTCATTAATCATTAGTAATCAGATTAGTCTGAATGGCTAGCTCTGACAGAATTTGTGTACAATAACTAGTAACACTCTGTAACAGGACAGTCCTTATTCTTTCTCAATCATAGAAGACATCTGTACTAGGGGACAGTTCTGAACTAGAACAACAGTTCTGAATCTGTAACAGACTTTACAGAACAGATACACAGAACCAGGAAGGACACACAAGCTCTTTTGGAAAAGGTAGTATAGGTTATAAAGTAGAACTATAATTAGAAGAAGTCTGTGACTAAAAATTACCAGCCTAGTAACAAAGTTATACTGGAAGCTACTAACCTGACCACAGATTGCCTAATGAAGAAGTTGGACAACAAGCACTTTAGACCCTTTGTTATTAAAAAGAAGGTTGGCACCTCTGTCTACAAACTCTAACTTCTAGCAACATAGAAGTGTATACACTCAGTGTTTAACAAGGTTCTACTGTCTTAGTACTATAATCCAGGTTTTCCTTTGTAACAAAGACCCCTACTGCCTCTACCAGAACTCATCAGTTCCAAACCAGAATACAAAGTAGAGTATGTAGTAGATGCTAAGCTAGTGTACAGAAAGCTCAAGTTCCTTATCTACTAGAAGGGATACTTAGTTGAAGAACACACTTGAGAACCTGCTGAGAATCTTACTCATACTACTAAGGCAATCCAAGACTTCTATTAACTTCATCTAGGTGCTCTGTATCAACTCTGCCTCACAGATTTCCAAACCCTACTATTTCAACCTATACTTGAGCTACTGACTGAGCCTAATGTTCACCAATTAGGACAATTGGTTTTAGAGGGGGGGTAATGTTATGATTCTCTACTCTCTTACCTTCAGTTCTAAGGGTTCTACACCCTTCTGTACCAGAACTTGGGACTTCTGTCCCTTAGGGGCACTGTCTATAAACTATATGTGTACTGACTCTTACTACTACCCTTCCTTACTTCATCATTCTATTCCTTTAACTACTCCTTCATTCTCTGTTCATTCTATAGTCTCTTACCCTTTATCTATCCCTTCATTCTTTGTACCTTTATCTTTGACATTCCTTTCTTTCATTCTTTATAGCTTACCATTCTTAGTAGCTCATACTCCCTGAGTACTCTTGTATAGTTTAGTATATATAAGTGTACAAGATCAGACTGGTCCTATAGTCTTAATCTTGTCTACTCTAGGTAGTCCTGTACTCTTAGACTTACTCTATATACTCTACTCTTGTCTCACTCTCTCTCTCTACTTGTTCTACAAGTTCTGACTATGTTCTAGTACTTGTGTTCTGTACTTCTGTTGTGTAGGATAGTTGTAGCTTGGGTCCCCTTGTTGAGCCTTCAGGTCCCCTCTACACTGTTACTAACATATATAGTAAAAGAGTTCCCTTGAATTCTGAGAAGCATATACAAGTCCTGTATGAATTTTGACTCAAATTACAGTCTACAATCATGAATAAGCTTCTAAGGGAGTCTGTGTAACTAGAAGACATGATTCTGATAGATACACACTATACCTTCAGAAGTGAGTTCTGTTTAGGTTAGAACTGTATAGACTTACTTAGAGAATTAGTTAACAATTATACAGATAGTGTTGTAACCCTAGAACTCAGGTAGCTTACTAATTAGGTCTACTAAGACTTCCTCCTAAGAGTAATCCAGAATCTAATACAGATGTAAAAGAGTCTAAACCCTTGTCTAGTAAGTCTTAGTCTGTTAGTATGTATTATAACCAGTTATATACTTTAGGATTTCCCTCTGTATTCCTAGCTACTAGTAGTTTCAAGTAATAAGTTCCTACATTTTGTGTTAGCCTAAATGTCTTATAGTTGGATTATTGTAATGAGCTTAAACAATGTCCTCTTACAGTTTCTAATCCTTTAGAACATACAGTCAGCCTTCCTAGTAAACCTATCTATCCTTATCCTCCTCCTAGTCCCTAGCCTGCTTCTCTAGCTACTTTACTATGACTCAGTCCTGTGTGTGTCTTAGAGCTTACTGTATACAAGTAACAAAGTCAACATCCTCAGATTTGAGTCAGATCTCTCAGATTGTCTTAGACACAAAATAGGAATTGTTTAAGAGAACAAGATTTTTGTTATTATTCTCCCCTCTTTTATAACCTGCTTGTCTTAAGAGTAAATCAGCTTTCATTATTTGTGTTCCAGGTTTATAAGTTAGTACAAAGTCATAGTCCTATAGTTCTAACATCTAGCAGGCCTAGTAGTGGTTAAACTTCTAAGGTGCTTAGAAGTACTAGAGATTAAGGTGATCACTCTAAATCTCAAACTTCTACACTATACTAAGGAGATATTAATACTACTCCTCTAGAGAACAGACAATTGTAAGGAGTTCCTTGTTATAGATAGAGTAGTTCTGTTCTGTTACAGAGAGGGATTCTGATTAGAACACTATCAGACACTACTTTCTATTAATAAACTAGGACAGTACTACTCTATTTACAAAGTCAGAAGAGTTGGCTTTGACTCAGAACTTGTTTACAACTATCAGAACTACTAATACAGGCTTGCTAGTAATAGTCTGCTTGAGGGACTTGAATACAGCCTACTACTAATCACTCTATTACTAAGGAACATCTTTGCTAGTAAGATTATAAAGGGGCCAGACAATAGTACTAAAGTCTTGAATAAAGTATTAGTAGTAGTTTACAAACCTAAGAAACACTTAGACCTGTTTTAGGTTCTAAGGTTACAGCCAGTTCCAAACTACAGTTACCTTTGTCAGATCCATACAGACCTCTCCTCCACTAATTACAAAGCTCAGATAGTCTACTAACTCCTGTACAAAAGAACACTTTACTTCTTAGAGGAACTGTTTATTATCTTAGAGCTACTATAGAACTGCTCAGATTAGTTAGTAATAGTGCTCAACTGTCTGAGTGAAGATCAGAATATTGTCCAGATACACACTAACATACTCTGAGTTAATCAGATCTGTAAGAATGTGATTCATAAATGATTAGAATGTTACAAGTAAGTTGGTTAGTCTGAAGAACATTATAGTCAGTTTGTACAATCTATAATTAGTTTAGAACACAGCCTTCTACTCATCTCTGTCTTGGATCCAAATATTATTGTACCCTTACTAAACATCCAACTTAGTAAAAACCCTAAATGTATGTATCTTATTAATGAGCTCCTGAATTAGGAGGAGTAGGTACTTGTTTT